AAAGATAGAAAAAAAAATTAGGAAGCTACTAGCTTATTTTTGAAACGCTACCTCTTCAAAATAAGCTCTTATTTTAAGTTATTAGCATATTTTGAGAACATTATCAAACAGAACTTATAGCTTATTAGTAGTTTAAAATAAACTATAAGCTCATAAATAAGTTTTGTCAAACATAGCAATTATCATATATTTACAATAACAGTAATTATTTTTTACTTCCAAACATTAATCCCTAATGGAATTTTATTTTCTGAGTGAATTTAAAGATTGATCGATTAAGTGAATCTGATGTCCGAAGTCGCATATACAAGGAAGAAATACGAAGAATTATACATTAAGCAGATAAAATGACTACTTTACTCTTTCATTTAAAGTTCAATTTACCGTAATATGATGAAAGAACTTCAATTAGAAAGAAATTAAAAATCGAGATACGTAAAATGTCTAAATTAAAAGTCGAGAATTAATTTTAAAAATTTAATATAGTCGGATGGCCATTGCTGAAATTAACTCTAAGAAAATACTTCCCTTTCTTCCCAAAAGACACCTTAATTTAGCTTGAGGAAACAATCTCACTGTCGCGGTTAGGGTTTCATTATCTTCTCCCAAAAGCATCACAACCCCAGCCACCGTCGCCACTTTTATCCCAACTATCACAGCTCTAGCTCTCGCTCTCTCTCCCTCGCCACCGTCCGCCACTATTTCCCGCCCTCGGTCAACAGCCGCTAAAGCATCGTGCGAGGTAACTAGCCCTGGGTTTTTATGTCTTTAATAAAGATCCTATTGCAATCTATATATTTAAGGACTTTGAGCGCTGGAAGTTTGCAAATTAGAATGCGCCCATTATAGCGATTTAGAGATTTTTATTCTGCAGTTTTACAGAATGCGTGTTGGCTGTTATCATTGTTATTTTCTTCCCATATCATTGCTCGTTTTACAGAATTGATTATTAAATTGTTTGAATGTATGTTTGTATATTCGTACACACTTACTAGTTGTGCTTATTTAATTCGATTCTAATAGTGGAAGGAATAAATATTTAATTAGCTGCTTAAATGCAGTGATAGGTGATTCTTCTCTGTTCAGTTTTTTTTTTTTTTTTTTTTTTTTTTTTTTTTTTTTTTTTTTTTAAGCTGTTGTATATCAATTACATCATGTCTTATAGAATTTGGTGCTCGTTTAATCTGTGTAGATGAATGTAGAAAAGCTTCAAAAGATGGCCGGTTCTGTCCGGACTGGTGGCAAGGGAACTATGAGGAGGTTTGTTTGCTATTTGTTTTATGTGGAGTATTAGATTTCCTTTTCTGCATTGTTCTCTTTGTAGAAGAAGTTACCATTTGAGTGATAGGTGTTTGTATCTGCAACAGGAATATGTGATAATTCTATTTAATTTGGCTATTGGCGAAAGGAAGTCGTTTTGACGATATAGAAAAATTTATCTTAATTTTGTTTGGGAATGCCCATATCCTGTGCAGCTGCTGATGCATTATTCTGTTTATTTGTGTGATTGTTTTCATATATTTACTTTATTAAGAAGGAAGTAGTTTATTGTTTGATTATGTTTTTAATGCATCTCCCTCTTCAGAAAGAAGAAGGCGGTTCACAAAACTACTACCACGGATGACAAAAGACTTCAGAGTACTCTGAAGAGAATAGGGGTGAATGCCATTCCTGCCATAGAAGAGGTGAACATTTTTAAGGAGGATGTAGTTGTCCAGTTCCTTAATCCAAAAGGTATAAGTGCTATAAAATATGTGAAATTCATATGCTCTTTAATCACCATCTATTTGGCTAAATAGTTTCCCCATTTTTTCTGTACAGTTCAAGCTTCAATTGCTGCAAATACTTGGGTTGTGAGTGGTTCTCCTCAGATTAAGAGTATGTGCTCTTTGTTTTTCAGTTTGTAAAAGTTACTTTTGAGAGCTATATTATTCTTGGTATCAATTTGTTTAATGTTGCAAAAATGTTCAAATGAGAACTTTTTTTTATTTGCTTTTCCATTTTTTGGTGTTCTTTTCTGCTTAGATCATTCATTGGATTTGTTGCCAAGCATGGTCTACTAATGTTGATGTACTTATTTTTATGTAGTTAGTGGAGGTTGTGTTAATGTGTTACCCTTTTTTAGGACTTTGTTTTACCGTGTTTCAAGCAAGACTTGACCAAAAAAAAAAAAAAACTAACATTTACTTTTCCTTGCAGAATTGCAAGATATTCTTCCTCAAATTATTCACCAATTGGGTATGCAATCCTTATTCAATCTAATCTCAGTTTGAATAAAGCATGGAGCATTGGAATATTTCATTTAATGTTTGTTTTGTTTAAACTTCCATCTAGGTCCTGACAATCTTGAGAACTTGAAGAAGTTGGCAGAGCAGTTCCAAAAGCAAACAACTGGTACTGCTGATAGTGCAGATGCATCTACTGGTGCAAATGCCCTTCAAGAAGATGATGATGATGAGGTGCCCCAACTTGTGGATGGTGAAACCTTTGAAGCTGCTGCCGATGAGGGACAAAAATAAAATTTCAATTAAATTTTGTTCCTTTTATGTGATTTGTGATCTTTGCTATCTATGGGTGAGTGCTGAATATGATGTGTATTATGAGATTCCAAGCTTTATTACATGGATGTTATTGTTATCAATTAATTTTACCCTTTAGCAGTTCTTCCTACTTTTAATAGAAGCACAGATGGATGGCAAGTAGCCCCTTTTTTCCCTGGATATGTAATGTATGCCCAGTTGGTCTTATTTAGATGCAATTTATGAAAGTAGGATACAAGTGATTATTGCTGTTTAATTAAGGTTATAAAGATTGGGTTAGCTTGAATAAGATGGAATCATCTTTCTAGTTATAAAGGGGGGAGACCCCCTTATCCATCTCTTTAGAGAATGTGAGTTTGTGCATGATTGTTGGAGACTTTGCTTGAGAATAATCCACCTTTATTGGAATCAATATCATTCATCACAGAGTTGTAAACATTTTTTTACTTGAATTGTGTTACTAATGTTTCATGTTTTGTCTTCAGTGATTCCTTATCATATGTAACTCTCAAATCTATGCTAGTTTTGTCTGGAATTGGGATTTTTGAAAAATCCTTCCGGCTTGATAGTAACTTCTCCAACTCCACCAAAGCAAGTTGTTTTTTTTTTTTATCTGAATCTGATAAAATTAATTAATTCTTAAGAGTAAAAAAAAAAAAATAGTTTATTTACAAATAATGAAAAGTAAATAACAAAGTCGAATAAATAGATTGGAGTAAACTAAATATCATTTATTCAATATTGAGTAGTGACGAAAAAATAGGAATATAAATTTTAATATTGTTGTATTTTTAATATTAAATAGATTGCACAATATGATATTTTTTGTTATAATTTATATAATTGTATATCGATTCAAATATTATTAAAATTTTAGTATTTTTCATGCGTTGCACAAAATTGATTTGTTATAATGTTTAAGAATATTTGAATCGATATACAATTATTATATAAATTATAATAACAAATATTATATTGTGCAATTGATGAAATGGGTTGATGTTATCCTGTCTTGAATTTAAGCAAATAATTACTCAATTACCCATGTACGGATAAAAATTTTTATTATATATTTAAATAATAAAATTAAATATGAAATTATAAACAATTCTAATATTTAAAATTTTACATTTATTTGATTATAAGATTAATGTAAAAGTATCACTCAATTAATTGAATAATATATGGCTCGTTTGTCTGCAATTATCTTAAAAAATCAATATGTAATATGATTTATGTAATTATATTTTAATGATTTTTTTTTTAATCTTAATAATTCAGTCAGACAGTTGGGTTTTAATGAGAGTTTGAAATTTAGTAAATTTATCAGAGAATTATAAAACTAATAATGGAGAATATAATTTTTAACGGGAAAAGAAATAATATAATATTGTTGAATAGAAATATGAATTTTAATATTGTATTATGAATATGAACTTTAATGTAGAATTGTAGTACGAATATAAAAGTAGGAAATAATATATTTTATTATGAATTGTATTACACTATTACGCAAACCTTAATAGTATAGGGACCGTCACAAATCTTAATAGTATAAGTCTGTTTTGGGCGGTATATAGTATAGATAGTATAGATTATTATTATTATTATTCCCTTTTAATCACATTAATTCTATTTCTACCTTTCAAACAATGAAATTTGAATTCATACTTGATTCTTTTTCCACAAAATTATAATTTATTTTCACCTAATTTCATCATTGAATAAATTTCACTTTTATCTAACTATTATACATAGATCATATTTGATCTTTAACAATTAGATAGATGATTATAATTTGTATCACGTTTGGTCACACAATGACTGGGATAAATAATTATAAAGAGTTAATACTCAAAATGGTCCTCGATTATAGTGTTTTTCCTCAATTTCGTCCTAAACGACTGTGGCGACCTAATATAGTACCAGACTTTTGTGTTTCGCTCAATTTAGTCATCGTTTGTTATTTCCTCAAATTGGTATTAAATAAATGGACAATTCAATAATATCAATATTGACATCTCTTTACTTTCAACCTGCGAAGTGAAAAATATCTCTTTCTTGTACGAATTACACCCAGAATTACTCTCAAACCTACGAATCAAATTTTATATTCGCAGGTTTAGGAGTGATTTTATGAGTAATTCGTAAAAAAAAAAAAAGAATTTCGCACTTCATATGTTTATGAGTAAAGAGATGCCAATATTAAAATTACTGAGTTGTCTATTTATTTAACAACAATTGGACGGAATAACAAATGAGAGACTAAATTGAGTAAAAATACAAAAGACTGAGACTAAATTGAGTAAGAATATAAAACTCTGAAACTATATTAAGTCACCAAAGTTGTTTATAATAAAATAAAGAAAAACCACTATAGTCAAAGACTATTTAAATATTAACTCTAATTATAAACATACTCAAATATATAGATGCCTAATATATCACATTAAAACAACCCAAGACAAAACATATTGGCTGTTAGGGTTTTAGTTTCTTGACTGTAGTCCTTTCAAAGACATTTCAACCTTAGCCAAACTGTCGCCACTCTCGCCCTCAGCCACTCTTGCCGTCGCTGCTCTCGCCCCCGGTCTGCAGCCGCCTCAAGCATCGTCGTCGAGGTTATCATCCGTTGCCTGTTATATCTTTAACGGAGCTTTTATTGCAATCTATATATTTCAACGACTTCCGGTGCTGGAAGTTTGTAAAGAGAATGCGCAGATTATAGAGATTTAGAGATTTTTACTCTGCAATTTTACATTCTCAGTTTTGATTTAATAATAATATATTTCCTTCCCTAATGGCCAGTAAGAAAAAAAAAATTGCAATTTACTAATGGACGATTTCATAATTGACTTTCTTTGATTTCCTTTTATCATATGCCTTTTCTTCTTTGGATTATCTTATAATTATGTGATTTCGTTTTCTAGTGTATTTCTGAATCTCTACTGCAACATATACACATATCGCGAGCAGCTATGATAACTAGATAACATAATACAATTATAGCTCAATTTTGTGCTTTTTAGTATTGGTGCTAGTTTTTTGTGATAAGTGATACTTTTAATTCAATTTTTTGTTCAGCTGCTGTATATCAATTGCATCATGTCTTATGGGATTTGCTGCTTATTTATTCTGTGCAGATGAATGTAGAAAAGCTACAAAGGATGGCCGGCTCTGTCCGGACCGGTGGCAAGGGAACTATGAGGAGGTTTGTGTGCTATTAGTTAGTTTTATATAGACTATTAGATTTTCTTTTCTGCACTCCTCTTTTTAGGAGAAAATGTTGTTGTCGTTCGAGTGATAGGCGTGTGCATCTACAATAAGAATGTGTTACAGCTCTACTTAATTTGGTTAGTGGTGAAAGGAAGTTGTTTTTGATGATATGGAGAAATGTGTCTTACTTTTGTACCGGGAGTGCCAATCTCCTAGGTAGTTCTAACTTCCAACTGCTTCCTGTTGCATTATTTGTGTGATTGTTTGTGCTCCATCTCAACTACAAGCCTAAGCTGGTAGTTGGAATGCACATTTATGTTTATATATTATATGCAACACGTCCCCGACCTTTGGCATGGGGTTGGCTATTCCATCTCAACTAAAAGCCTAAGCTGGTAGTTGTATTGCAAATTTATGTTTATATATATATATATATATATTATATGCTCAACATTGAGAAGATATTTATTTATTGTATGCAGAAAGAAGAAGGCAGTTCACAAAGCTACTACTACGGATGACAAAAGACTTCAAAGTACTCTCAAGAGAATCGGGGTGAATGCAATTCCTGCCATAGAAGAGGTGAACATTTTCAAGGAGGATGTAGTTATCCAGTTTATTAATCCAAAAGGTATTTGTGTTATAAATACGTGATATTCATATGTGCTCTTTAATCACCATCCATTAGGCGGCTAAATAATTTCTCCCCATTTTTCTCTATAGTTCAAGCTTCAATTGCTGCAAATACTTGGGTTGTGAGCGGCTCTCCTCAAACTAAGAGTATGTTCTCTTTCATTTTTTTTCAACATGCAAATACTTGGGTTGTTATCAATTTGTTTATATGAAAAATTCTTTTTTTTTGTGGTTATGGTATTACAGAATTGCAAGATATTCTCCCTGAAATTATTCACCAATTAGGTATGCAATTATTCACTCTTAGTCTCGGTTTCAATAAAGCATGGAGCATTGGAATATTTCGATTAATGCTTGTTGTTTAAACTTGCGTTTAGGTCCCGACAATCTTGAGAACTTGAAGAAGTTAGCGGAGCAGTTCCAAAAGCAAATGCCGGGTATTGCTGACACTGCAGATGCAGCTACGGGTGCAAATGCATCTCAACAAGATGACGATGAGGTGCCCCAACTCGTGGATGGTGAAACCTTTGAAGCTGCTGCTGATGAGGGACAAAAATAAAATTAAAATTTGTTCCATTTTAAGTGATTTGAGATCTTTCCTATCCTTGGGTGTGTACTGAATATGATGTCTATTATGGGATACCAAGCTTTATTACATGTATGCTATTGCTATTAGTTTAATTTCCCTTCAGAAGTTTTTGGACATATATTTAATTTAATCTACTGAATTGTTTTTTTTTTTCTTATTATTTAGGAACAAATTTTGTTTGATTTTTTTTTTTTTTTCTCTGGGAGGAGGTACATAACACGTCCCAAGACCAACATGAGAATTGAGAATCAGCCGCCCAAGCTAGCTTATGAGCCAAAAGATTTGCAGGTCTACCAACAAAAATAACACTAATGTTAATCAGTAGCTACATTGTTGATAGTCGCTACCGCATTTGTATTAAGACAATTACGTTCCACGATAACATTATTACCATAATCATGATAGAGCTCCTTGCAGGCCAGCGATTTGGCCAAATTACACATGTACCGGAGTTTCTCAAAACAACGACAAAGACAACTAAACCAAACTTGGTAAAAATTGAGTGAACAAATTGCACTTTTGGTCCCGTAACTATTAGGGTACTGATAATTTGAGTACGTAACTTTCAAAACTTTCAATTCAAATCTTTAACTATGCAATTTTTAACAGTTTTGGTCCTGCCGGCCAAATTGCCGGCCAATTTTGACCGAAAAAACATAAATTGGGTCAAATTATTTTTTAACGAGGGTAAAATTGTTATTTCACTTTCTTCTTCTTCATTCTCCCCCTTCTTCTTCGTTCTTCTTCTTCTTCATCCTTGCAGTTGTGTGAATGCAAAATCCTCCAAAATGACAAATCTGTATACACCACCTGTATACCCCCAAAATGTGAATGCAAAATCCTCCAAATTCAGGGTGTTCAACAATTATCCGCTAAATAATCTAATCTCTGCAAAGGAGCACCAACCTGTAAGTTACAAGCAAAATTGCTACAAGCATTTGTGAATAATGAGGAAATCTATTAATTCGCTTGCTTCTAAGGATCGGAACAAAAAAAAAAAAAAACAGTTAACCAGGAAGCAGGCAAGGCTTTGTTTAGCCTTTAGGTGTTTTACTTCTTACGCAAGAACAAGAAACTGGCAGCCACAGAGATGCCAACAACGGCTACCGGAAGAACCCAATAATGTTTGGCGAAATCCACGACTTTCTGGGATGTATTGCTGGGCTGCTTTGAAACAGTGTCGAGTTTAGGGATGGCAGGGGCAGACGTATCAAGCTCTCCAATGAAGAATGTTTCCATGAGTTCCCTTGCACTTTTGCTATGCCCAGCATCTTCAAAGTCATCTGTTGCATCTTTTCCTAAACGAAGGAGGGGGAGAATGAAGAAGAAGAGAGTGAAATGACAATTTTACCCTCGTCAAAAAATAATTTGAACCAATTTATGTTTTTCCAGTCAAAATTGGCTGGCAATTTGGCCGGCAGGACCAAAACTGTTAAAAATTGCATAGTTAAAGGTTTAAATTGAGAGTTTTGAAAGTTACGTACTCAAATTATCAGTACCCTAATAGTCACAGGACCAAAAGTGCAATTTGTTCAAATTGAGTAGTATGAGAACGATAAGTTGGGAAACATTAAACCAAATTATTCTGTGGACACATAACATGGTAATTACAAACAGACACAGAAATTGTTAACTGCAGGTACATAATATGTTAACTGCAAATTAAACACATAATATGTTAGTTAACATGTTATGTGTTTGCAGCTAACATATTTTGTACATGTTGTTAACAGTTTATGTGTTTGTAGTTATTATTTTATGCGTTTGTAATTATCATGTGATGTGCCTTCAATACGCTTATAGGTACAGAAACGATTAACTGCATTTACAAAATGTGTAACTGCAGGTACAAAATGTATCAATTATTTAAATTAGAAAAAAAAATTGTTTGCAAATTGTAATGCCATCTAATAAGATTATGTATTGATATATAAAAAAATTAATATTTTCGTGAAACAAAAAAAAAAAATCATATAAATATTATATTAAAATCAAGATGCTAAACAAATACAGCCAGCCAATTTGAAAATATAGTTAGATCACCTATTTAACTCATAATAGATAAAATTGTTTAATGAGTAATGTTACATTTATCTCCTAATTTTACTTCATTAACATGACAATATTTGATTGCTTCAATTTATATTTGATTAACTAATAATTTCTTTCAATGCTATATGAAGTCTGTCAATTAACGGTAGCCAATGAATGAAAAGAATTTTATTGACATGTATAGGAAGTAAACATTATGAGGGAAATATATCATTATTTTTATTTAAATTAGGAATAGCCATACAATTATGATTTATCGTTAAAAAAAAAAATGTATGAAATCTCAAATTTAAATATAACTTTGTATAAATGCTAATGGAGTTGTCTTCAATAAATAAATGCTAATGGAGTTTATTTGTAACACCTACAAGCAAATTTCAAACAGAAAAAGAAATTCTCAATAGTAAGAAGTTTACGTGCTTCCAAGATGTGGTGTAACGTACCATTTGAGATTTCTTCTTAACGTAGTTTATGGAGTAGCATGTTCTAGAGATTTAAAGAAAATTAATAGTGTTTAAAATAATTATTTTTGTTATACATACCATACCCAAAGACAATTAAAAAATTCGTGAGCATATCTCATATAAAATTTTTGTGAAAAATAATAATATAAATAAATGCAATGAGTACTTATTGTTTGTAAACAAAATTGAATAGGGTGATTTATGTGATATGAGCGCGTGGAAATGGAATAAAATCATTTCTGCCCCCATGCAGGATCGAACTACAGACCTTCAGTTTACAAGACTAACGCTCTACCACTGAGCTATAGGGGCTAAGCCATTCAAATGATGTTACGTAATATATTTTACTCTTTCTATCAATATTTTCTTTTGTGGATTGCGCATGTGTTTATCGATTGCCGTGCATTTTAATCAAAAAAATATTTTAGTATTTAAGGGAATTTCAGAGTTTTACTTTTATCAATTGAGTTAATGCCCAAAATCGTCTTTGACTATAGTGATTTTTCTCAATTTTGTCCTAAACGATTTTGGTGACTTAATGTAGTCCCAGAGTTTTGTATTTTTACTCAATTTCGTCCCAGACTTTTGTGTTTTTGCTCAATTTAATCCCTCATTTGTTATTCCGTCCATTTGTTGTTAAATAAATAGACAATTCAGTAATTTTAATATTGGCATCTCTTTATTCATAGACATGTGAAGTGCGAAATCCCTCTTTTTTTACGAATTACTCCCAGAATCACTTCTAAAGTTGCGAATATAAAATTTGATTCGTAGGTCTAAGAGTAACTCTAAGTGTAATTCGTGTAAGAAAGAGAGATTTCTCACTTCGCAGGTTGAAAGTAAAGAGAGGTCAATAATGATATTATTGAATTGTCCCTTTATTTAACACAAATTTGACGGAATAACAAATGGAGGACTAAATTGAGCGAAACACAAAAGTCTGGGACTATATTAGGTCACTAAAGTCGTTTAGGACGAAATTGAGAAAAACCACTCTAGTCGAGGACAATTTTGGGTATTAACTCTTTATCAATTATTGTAGGATTTTGTTTAACTTGTCCAATCAATTATATGTAAGAATTGAAGCATAACATATTAGCTGCATTGAACCAAAAATATCTAGTATGCATAATAGAAATTAGGAAATTAATAGGGATGTTTTTGGGATGCACCTTGACAATAGCCTGGGTTTTGATGGTTTTAATCCTGAGTTTTCCAAGCCTACAGGGATATCATTGGCCGGGATGAGTTAGTTTAGTTTTGCAATGAATTTATTGAGTTTGGCAAGCTTCTAAAAGGCCTAAATACAATCCAAATAATTGTGTTGGTTCTCAAAAAGCAAAATCGGAAACTATGGTTGACCTTAGACCGATTGCCCTTTGTAATCTGGCCTATAAAACTCTTGCTAAGGCTCTGGCTAACATGCTAAAAACTCTTCTGCACAATATTATCTTAGACAACCAAAGTGCATTTGTTCCAGATATGCTTATTACAGATAATATTATGATTGCATTTGAGATGCAACACTTTTTGAAAATGAAAACTCAAGGAAAGAAGGGTATGCAACCTTAAAACTTGATATGAGTAAAGCCTTTGACAGAGTTGAATGACATTTACTTCAGAGTATATATTATACTTAGGCTGGGATTTGAAGACCGTTGGGTTTCTCTAGTGATGAAATGTGTCTCTACTGTGGAATATTTTGTATTGAACAGTGGAGAGGAAATAGATCCTATTAAACTAGGGAGAGGGATTAGACAAGGGGATCCTATTTCACCTTACCTCTTTATAATAGTGATAGAGGGCTTCGGTGCAATGTTGAGGGACACTGAGAGGATAGGGAATTATATTTACATGGCATTTCGGTGGCTAGAAATGCTCCATCATTTAACCACTTTTCTTTGCCGATGATAGTCATATTTTTTCAAGGCAAATAACAGGGAAGTTACCAATTTGAGTTTACTCTTCCAAGACTATGAGAATGCTTCGAGGCAGAGTATTAATCTGGATAAATCTTACATGCTATTTAGTAGGAACGTGAATGAGGAAACTAGGCAATTCTTTTAAAGCACGAAGGGAGGTTCTTTTGAAATTAGGCAATTCTTTTGAAGTTCTTTTGAGACCTCAACTTTAAAGATCACATTGACAAAATAAAGATATTGCAAACATGTTTTTAAGCTAAATGAAAGAAAACACTTTTAAAACAATGATTTAAATATTTATTTTGAAACTTTTGACTCAAAATTATTTTAGCTTCTTTGTAAAACCATTTGTTTGGAGGGTGAGAAATAATAGGCTTATATAAAAAAATATGGAGGAGAGAATTAGAAATATTTGAGTTCACAAATATGAAATATAAATATTCTAAATAATTTGCAACAAGTTCCTATTTCTTGAGCTATTTTTCCTCCAATTACGAAACCATTGTACTCTTCTTTTCTTCAAGCTTGGAATCTTAATTGATTAGCTTTCGTGGTGCAGTTCCTTCGAGAACTTACCACCGGATTCAATCTTGTGACCTTTTCTCAAGAGGAGTTATAGAAGTGTCATCTAAGCACAAGATGTTTGGCACAACTTTGATATTTA